TTGTCTTCTCTCCTCCACTCTTTTCTTGTTTCTTCTCATCTCCTCCCCTCCTTTCTGTTCTCCTTATTTCTTCTCTCCTTTCCCTCTGCTTGCTCCTTTCCTCCTGTCCTCCATTCTGTTCACTTTTCTCCTTTCTGGTCACCTTTCCACTTGTCTTTCCTTGTCTTCTCTGCTGCCTTAACCTTCCTTATCATTTCCTCTCCTCCTTTCTAATGCTGTCTGCCATCTCCTCCATTGTTTGCCCCTCCTCTTTTCTGGTGTCTTCTGGTCTCCTCTTCCCCCTCCATGTCTCCTTGCCTATTCTCTTTGTCTTTCTTGTCTCTTCTCTCCTTCTGTCGGGTCTCCTGTCTTCCCCTCCTCTATCCTCCTGTCCTGCCGTGTCCTCCCTTCTCTCTTCCTGCGTCTCTCATCTCTGCTCTTCTCTGCGTACGGAGACGGAGGGCAGGGGAGCAGACGTATGTGTCCTCTCCGCTCTCACTAACATTGTTTATCATCCACCCAATCCAGCATGGAGGTGAATGTCTGATGAGGGAGAGAGAGGGGCATAGAGGAGGATTGGTGTGCAGTAAATCAGTTAGTCTGTAAATGAGATGAGAGTGAAGGAGAAACAGTCTGAACTGAGGAGAGCATGAGGAGAATCTGGAACGCAGACTGACATTGAGATACAACACACACACACTAAGCACTCTATGATCTATGGTGTTCTCACAGTAGGTGCACACTCAAATGAAACCCTTTGACAGAGCTCCTTCAGTCGTTTGAAATTCCTCTTTCTTCTTAAACACACACACACACACGTCACACAAACATGAACACAGTATTCCTGCTCCTTACATTCATTGCACACTGATAATATGAGCCTGATTAAAGCGTTTTGCTTGAAGACCCTCAGTAATCTCTCTCTGTCTCATTCCCTCTCATCCTTTATTCTCTCACTGTCCTCATTCTGGCTTTAAGACTCTGCTGTGCCTCAAAAGGATTATCGTGCCTTCTCCAAACAGGAAATGCATGCACAAAGAGCCCTCATGCCTCAAACCTCTGGTTCTTATTAAAGCCCAACCGATATGGGTTTTTTGGGGGCCGATACCGATATTAGGGAGTAAAAAAAAGACAGATACTGATATATCGGCCGATATTCTTTATGTGTAGGCTATATTATAGTACAGTATGGTCAAAAGTTTGGACACACTTCCCATTCGTGTGTCCAAACTTTTGACTGGTACTGTATATAGAATACAGTATATAGCCTACATAAACAGAATATATATACATAAACACATTTTTTGCAATGATAACTGAAATGTGGTGATCAAACACTTATAATGATGAAACATAGGCCTATGTAATGGAGGCAGGGTATTTAAGAATTTAACAAACTTTATTATTCAAAGTGAGTCTGACATCAGTGCACTTAACAGTAAACTTCACTTATTATAAATAACTTGAATAACACAAATAGAACAAAATATATCTAACTATATAAGAAATTAAACAAGGTAACTGTGTAGGGCAAGCAAGCTACTGCCAAACCAACAGTTGCATCGCGGAAATCATAGGGCCCTACTAGCAAACAAATATGATGAGCTCATTGTGAGAGTAAAAGACGGGGAAAAAAAAATTCATATCGGCGGCATATTTGCCGATACCGATATATCGGCAACAGGCTCATATCGGCCGATAATATCGGCAAAGTGTATTTTCTGGTAATCAAATGAACATGCAGAACATTCGTGTTTAAATCGTCTTTTTGCAGTTTAATATTCACAGACACATATATATATATATATATATATATATACACACACACTGGCCTGTTTTTTATTTATTCATCAAAAATAAGACAAATTCCATCAAATTCCGCATTATACAGTAAATTCCGTTTTTATGACTGGATTCCGCTGTTCCGTCCATGTTTTCTGCATCGCGGAAATCATAGGGCCCTACTAGCAAACAAATATGATGAGCTCATTGTGAGACGGCTAAACGATATATCGGTCGGGCTCTAATAAGAACTAGATCCCAACCGATATATCGTTTTGCCGATATTATAGGCCGATATGAGCCTGTCGCAGATGTATCGGCGAATATGCCGCCGATATGATTTTTTTTTTTCTTACAGAACATATAACGCAGATTAAATGCTTCTGAATGGTGTAATTACTTAGTTTGTCCAGCAGAGCGCGCGGCCACTCAGTCAATGCTGGTGTTTATACCGGCCGCACCGCGGCCCAGAACTCATGCTTATCATATCGGTCACATCACATCGCGCGGCACGACAAAATACAATAGAATTTCAACCCTCTACATTGCGAGTAAATCACTCGCATATGCGACTAAATCTTACTCTGGGCGACTAAATGTTTTTTATATATATATATATATATATATATTAGTTTATCAGTCTGGCGAGTAAACAAAAAAATTTACTAGCCAATGGCGATTCAATTGCCAAGGTGTTCGTAGAGGGCTGAATTTCTATTGTATTTTGTCGCGCCGCTAGCATCCGGTGTAGAATAGAACTCATTATAATCAGTGATGTTGTCTTCACTGGATGTAGTAAACTGATGCCTTGTTCTATTTATGGCGTGTTGACACAAAGTTCAAATGATTTTCAATGGTCGCTTTGTGGCGTCCTGTTGTGGCGCAGACACGGTGTCAGCACAGTTTGTCAGTACAGTCAGTAACGTAGCAGATTGAAAAGTTAGTATCTTTCTGCAACA